GCACTTCTGCAACTAGAAATCCCTTCCCGTCAGCAGCCCCGAGCTTACCAGCTTACCACACTGAGCCCCAAGATAATACAGCAAAGCAGAGGATACTGGCGGCAGATCTCCCGCAGCACCTCCGTCGCGCGCTGGCACAGCCTCTCCCCCGCGCGCAGCCACCTCATCTTCGGAAATGGAAAGCACAAGACCCGCGCCCGTCATGACCGAGGGGTTATGACCCCCTCCCTCTCACAGCACTAAAAGAAACCTAACACTCGGGCGCTTCTGGTTTCTCTCACGTGACCTATACCACGTGACCTCCCTTCGGCTCACGTAAACGACGCATTTTACTTACGGGTAAGCGGAACAATGTCGCCATATTACTACGTCAGAAGTGGCCGCGCAAAAAGCTTTGCGGCTCACTTTCTTCTCCAAACCCGGCTGCTTTTCAGGTTTGCTTTTTTTAAAGTGTGGTGGGTTTCGGAAGGCGTCAGACACTTGAAGGTGTTCCTGAGAATTTCACCTTTATTGTCGCTACAGGCGAAACTCTCCGGTGAACGGTAAAAAGGACTGAATACAGGAAGGCCCCTCAAGCATTCCGCCCCTTGGCTGGCCTTTCTCACCCTAGTTGAGGCTAGGCATTCAGCTGTGGCAGAGTACCACTCATAATCAAACCATTCTAGTTAGTGGAACTTGCTTTTCGCGAGGAGCGCTTAGGGTTAAGTGTCCTATTTGTAAAGGTTCGTACTAAGAGCGAATCACTTGGAACAGGTCTGTAATCAGGAAGTTTATGGCTTATATAGTAGTTTCCGTGGACTAGACCCCCTTTCAGGAAATGCACCCTTGCTAATTACTGGCAAAGCACAGTATTTCCTATCTATTGCAGAACACACAGCGGGGCTGGCTCGGAGCAAACGTGCACAGCATTAAAATGCCTAAAAGGGAATGTGACCAGTTTTTAATCGAACCAACACGGCTACCCATCTGAATCGTTGTTTCTAATGTCAGGCACCAACCTTTTCAAAATTTACCCCACTACTGGCTGGAGAAGGGCTACTATGCTACAGGAAAGAGGAAACCAAAGTTAAAAACTAGCATTTCTGGTTTCCTGCCACATTGGACTATTTCACTTCAAGTGAATTTTTACACATTGCATATGAACTGGAATGCCTTCCCTCGCTCTTGTACTTCTGGATAAGTGGACCAAAAACACTAGATGATTGAAGAAAAAAGATGAACATGGGAAGATGCAGCTAGTACTACACTATGTGGAAATGAAGTACTGAACTTAAAGTAAAAGCTGGGAGTATCATACCCTTCACAGAGGGTATAAAATACCCTTTTTCAGTCTCCGTATATCAATATGGCACAGAAGCAAAAACTGACTTATCAAAAACCACTTCATACTACTTTGACCAATGGTCTACCAGAGATATTTTCTATCCAAACTATATATCAACTTATTCTCCATGGCAACTGGTGTTTTAACTCTTCAGAAAACTAATGATTTCTTCACTTCTCTCACTTACTGGCAAATGCTGAAAGATCACCAATCCTTTGTTTCTGTTACTATATATCTCCTCTGCCTCCTAGTCCCTGCCCCCTTTAAGATCTCCTGCAGGCCATTTAGGATAAGTACTTGTGACTAAACATGTAAAATTTCAAGACATTTTGAAACCATGGGGAAAAGTGTTTTTTCCGCTGGAAATATTTGGGGGGAGGGGTTGAAACAAACTAATTCTACTGTTTTAACATAAAAGTTATCATTTATAACTTAGCATAGTTTGCAATATTTGATATTTATGGAAGTTATAAATGACTTTGTTTTGTACAAGCAAAATCACAAATATACTCAATACTTGCAGAAAAGAGCTTAAATTCTTAATGAAACTCAGTTTTCCTCCAAGATGCATTTTCTGCCCCACCTCCTTCTGATCTTTTTTCTCCCTCCTGCAAGGTAGGGCAATAAGCTACTTTTTACCACAGTAGTCTGTGGGTAAATGTGTCACAGTGGTTCGAGGCAGTGATAAAAAGGTTAACTATGTCAGGTCAAAAGAACAGAACGCATACCACTGTTGAGAAGCAATGAAAGCCCTGCATGATCCTCTCATGCAGATTTGGTGTCTTTCGAGGTGTAGAAATCCATCTTGGATTTAAAAGCTGTGTGCCTTTTCTTTTTATTATAAATTGTTTGTTCTACATCTGTAAGTTATAGTAAAAATGTAAAAAGAGCTGCATATGTCTACACCATGCTCACAAAGCATTTCACTCATTCTAAAAGAAACAGTATTTCATAGATTTGAAAAGAGGCCTCAGAAAAAAATGGGGGGGGAGAGAATGTATTTTTCCACACATTTTTCTGTTCCCCCCCCCCTAGTCTTCACATCCCTGTTTGTGACCAATCTAACTTTCTCCCAAGCAACTTAATTTGTCTATGTCTGATTCCTTTAATACAAACACAATATCATTCTCATCTCTTTGCTTAATAGCAATGCACCACATTGGTACTTCCCAACTAAAAATTCTACTTTATTATCACAGTACAAACTAGCTGCTTGTGATTCTGCTAAGTCATCATATAGTCTGTGACACTGTGCTTCTGTATGTTCCAAACAAAACAGAAATATACTGATATAATTTTTAGAATCCAGCATTCAGTGTTATAAAAATGTTATCTGTAGATGTTCTGAAGTTGATTGTATCTTTAAGCATTCTTTGTCGCAGACGCAAACTGAAGACTTACCTGTAATTCACTGCCTGTGTAACACCTATGTTGCAGAGCAGCAGACAACCATGCCACTGTCGTCACTGGTCAGTCAATCAGAATGAAAAGCTCATAATGAAGCTATGTTATATGAAGGCGAGCAATGTCCAAGATAGACCCCTGAGCCAACAAATTTTAGTAGTGTTCTTTACATGTCTTTGTAGAAAATTCTAAACTTTGTGAAGAAGCATGGCCCTCCTTTTCTATACTGGAGTATTTATCATTTAGAGTGCCACAATGCCTATAAAATCATCATGTAGTTTTATTAGCTCACTAAGCTATAACACAGTTGTACTCTGAATACTGTCAAAAACTTCTGCTTCAGCTGCAGCAATTAAGCCCTACAAATGCCATTTCAGAAGCAGACAATAGCAACGAGCCAGTAATTTTGTTGTCTTTGAACAATCGTGTTAGATTCCACTTTTTAAAGTAAAGCAGTGTGAAAGATCTGTTTAGACCTGCAAGTGAGCCAAGTACAGCTATAAAGAAGCCATACCATACTAAACAGCAACCTCTTTGCACAGTGGTTTTTCCTCTATGAACATTACTTTTTCATTTTTTAAATGCATGAATGAGACCCTGATTTCTCTTTTTGAATTTGTACTGTAATTAAGAATGGTTACCTACACAATTCAAGAGAAGCAAACAGAGGGAAATTTAAAAGAACTGTCAAATCTAAGCATGCTATAAGAACTCTCTCCTTTTTCAAGGATGTTCAAGATATATACGAACAATGTCCCTTTAAACAGCATGTGTATTCTCTGCTACCCCATGACTAGCTGTTAGACCAAGTTATGGAAGATCTTTTCATAGAACTGGTTTTTTGACATTAGAAATGTACCCTCCCCTCACCATTTACTCCAACCTCTGAAAATGGCAACACTTAATTTGCACAAGCCATTTGTAACACACACACACCATGGGATTTTTTTCCTGGAACAGAAAGAACTCATGCTAATATACCAGTAGAATTTCTACTTTGGTAAATCAGCCACTTGTCTTAGTGGGACAGTATGACATAGCCTGTTCTATACATATGTGTACCCTATGTATCTGAAATATTCTATAATACTAGTACCCAAGATGACCAAGCTGAAGTTATATAAAAGCATATTCCCATCATCTTCAGTTAACTATTAATGAAATTTCATTTCATTTACAGAACCAATTGTAAAAGTTTTCAGTATTAACATTTCTTCTTAAAAGATCAATTTTTCACAATACAAGTTTCCACATGCATTTTTACTGTAGTTTTTTCATTATTCTGCTAAAAAACTGCACCAATATCAGAACAGTGCAAATAATATTTAATTGTAAAAGTCATAATGGCTTGAATTCATAATTAAGAACACTGTCAAGATTCTGGTACTTATTACTCACCATTGCTTACAAACTATACTGATCATTTCCAGTCAGTTTCAATATGCATCCCGCCCCCCAACCCATTTTCACAGCTGAAGATGATCACAATTTCAGCTTGCATATTATGAAATTTCGTTTGCATTGGCATCAACTGAAAACACAATTCTGAAAAGACCAATTGATCATTTTCTCTTTTTTTCCCCCAAGCCACAATTAGCAATGTTTGAACCCCTATGAAAAGTTTGTTTTTCAGCAATGGAGAGAGATGGAAGATTTAAGTCAGAAGGCTTCCCCTTCTTCCTATATCTCCATTAGATATCAAGACAAATTTGGCATAAACAGCTTGACAGTGCTCCTCATAAGACTATGACAGTAAAGATGCCAGTTGGCACAACAGCCTCATTGAAGGGAGCATTGAATCCTCCTTGGCACTGGGACTACCAGCACCAAGGATTACAAAGAAATCAGTTTTATTTAAGGCTACATTTAGCAAACCTGCATTCCATAAGCCTCATCCTATCAAGTTTAAGATTTTGGAAGCTGATGCAACACTCATGTTTCATGTTCAATTATGGAGAGTAGTACTTCGTCATGGGCAGTATATGAAACCGTGGCAGTAGGCATCTCATTAAGCAATGACTTTACCATTTAGCCACTTAGTTTCTTTCTTAACTAGCAAGGCACATTTACATATTCCCATGAATATTTGACACATTTTAAATTACACTTTATGTCCCAGCTATCCCAGTAATTGACATACAATATACTAAAATGGTTTATTAAGATAACAAAAATTCAATTAATGTGAGAGAGACAGACTACCGGAAACCACTATTCTAAAAAATGTAAATACAAGTAAACATACTGAAATGTGTGCGCACGAGTTTTTAAACCAGAAGATTTCTGCACTAACACACATTTATATTAATGACACATAAAAAAAATAAAAACTTTATTACAAAAATAAGTTACACTTGCCTCCAGCTTACAGTATAAAACAATTTTATTTGCAGGAATGCAAAATGATTGTTTGCAATGAGCATTTAACATATGACATCTATTTTTGTTAAGTTTTTTCATTTACTGGGGAACTGGTGTGTATAAAACCTTAATTAGGTGTCTCAGTTCTTACTGTGGTGCCTACGGATATGTAACAACTGCAGTATCCCTTTGGGGAAGGGTATAAGGGAAGCTCTTTATGTCAAGTCCATACCAAGTCATAATTATTTTATCTATGCATGATTGGACTTGACAGAACTTTTTGGAAGGGTGATTCAATAGAGGATGTTTCACCACTTAACACTCACTGTCATCAAGGTGCTTTAGAAAATTAAAACATAGCACAAATGATTGTATTCTACTCTACAGGTTATCATGATCTGCATAAAGAGAAAATGGAAAGCTGATCTGCCTGTTTTTACAGCAATCAGCAGTAAGAAATGCACTAATGAGAAAACATACCGTTACCTAAAAAGCTAAACTACAGCCATATACTATTTTCTATGATTTATGAAAAACTTCAAAATATCCAAATGTCAGGCTTCACTGTACAGTTGTCAGTTTTAGTCTGACCTTTTATAAAGGGACACTGCAGTATTTAGTACAAGTTGCTGATGCACTTTTTTGAACATTTGATGTCTTACAAAAAGTAACATCTCGCTAAACTATTATACATCCAAATAACTACAATATCTGAAGAAGCAAGGCTGCTTTTTCAGCCACAAAATACGACAAAAGCAAGGCCTGTTATGATGGACATGAGGGAATCTTACAAAGCCTCTGAAATTAAAGGCAACTAAGAATGTTACATTTGGTATATATTTTAACCCTCATGTCATAATTAAACAAGCCTTGGTTTTATCTACAAAGATTTTCTATGTACAGTACAGATAGGGTATAGTTCAATCCTCTGCTACTGAGGTAGTTAACCAACCCTTTAAAAAAGGTTCTGAAAAGAACCACTATCTGGAATGCCTGACTAACCAGCTCTGATGATTACACCTGAAAACTGCTGTATCTGAACACATTTCAAAGTGATTACTATATAGACAACCATGATTAACCTTCATGAGCAGAAATAAGAGTTAAGGATACCAATGATGGCATTCACCTAATATCACCACAATAAAAATTTCAGAGCAATCAGAGAATTGCCTTTGTGGGATCCATTTTAAAACACCAGGGGAGGAAAAATCTACTTTAAGCAGATTTTTTAAGAAAACTTTTTAAAGAGGCCATGCTAAAGATAAAGAATTTTGTTGAACACATTGGGA